GCTTGCTGATGGTTTACAGCCAGCATCTGTTCAGCTGGTGCCTACGTCATTCCAGCTGTTGAATATTTTGACTATCATCCCTGGTTCTAGTATCACACATCTATGAATCCATGTGGCCTGACCAATACTTCCAGGGGCCAAGGACCACACCTGTGAAAATGCATGGAGAACCTAGAACTGAGCATGCCCATGACACCTGAACATGTCCTGGTCAGAGTTATCAAGCCACTGGTTGATAATGGTGGCTCTAATCAAAAGTGTGATTCTATGGGCAGCTTGGGTGGCTCAGTGGGTTAAGCAGCACTTTTGGTATCAGCTCAGGTTAGTGAGTTCAAGCCCCGCACTGGGCTCCACGCTGGGTGTGCAGACTACTTTAAAACAAAACAAAACAAGGGGCGCCTGGGTGGCTCAGACTGTTAAGCATCTGCCTTCGGCTCAGGTCATGATCCCAGGGTCCTGGGATCGAGCCCCGCATCGGGCTCCCTGCTCAACGGGAAGCCTGCTTCTCCTTCTCCCACTCCCCCTGCTTGTTTTCCCTCTCTTGCTGTCTCTCTCCTTCTGTCAAAATAAATAAATCTTAAAACGAAAAAAAGTGTGATTCTGAAAAAATACTCATCAGTACTGAAGGAAGTACTCTTTCTTAGGTACGGGTCAGAAAAAGAGAACTGCAGAGTTGGGAGATCATTAGCTAAATCTCCCATCCATTGCAGAAATCCCTTCCACAGTATGTGAATCCAGTAAGCCCTTGCTTGAACATCTCCACTGATAGAAAGTTAGATCTCTTTTTCTTGGAACATCTCATTCCAACAGTCTCATTCAACATAGGTAGGGTCCTCCTAATCGGTATCTGTATCCTTCTCTTCTAGGTCCCTAAAAAAGCAATTTCAAAATCCAGCTCTCCACTTTTTTCAACACTTTCTCTTTCATCAAGTTTTCTTTAACTCTCAAGGTTCAAGGGTTACTTCATGGTTGACTTGGGCATGATCTCTCTCCTCCTCTTTAATCCTGTATTCCTAACTACCTCTGAGATACAGGTCATTACATTTAAAAACACCTAACACTAATATCCCTCAATTTCTTTAAACTCCCTTCTGCTACTGTTGTAGCAAATATGCTATTGTTGCTGTGTATTTTCTCTTGTTTAAAAACTGAATAAAAGGGGTGCCTGGGTGGCTCAGTAATTAAGCATCTGCCTTCGGCTCAGGTCGTGATCCCAGGGTCCTGGGATTGAGCCCCGCATCGGGCTCCCTGCTCCGTGGGAGGCCTGCTTCTCCCTCTCCCATTCCCCCTGCTTGTGTTCCCTCTCTCACTGTCTCTCTCTCTGTCAAAAAATAAATAAAATCTTTAAAAAAAAAATTGAAAAATATATTATTTTCTACAATCTGTGTGTGTGTTTTAACTTAGTCACTTTGTATTTTCATCATTCTCATTTTCTTTTGCATCTCAAAAAAGATATTTTACAACTTCCTTTAAGGGTCCAGTATGGCAATTCTTCATTTTTGTTGTCTGAAAATACCTTTAATTTTCCCCTTTCTTAGAAAATATTTTTACTGGATATGGAATTCTAGGTTGATAATTATTTTCTTTCAGAACAGTTTAGGTATCATTCCACTGTCTGACTTCCTCTGTTGCTATTGAGAAATCAGCTGTTAGTCTCCTTTGAAGGTAAGGTCTTTTCTTCCTGGCTGCTTTTAAGATCTTTGGCTATGAGGTGTGTCAGTAATGCATGGATTTTTTTTTTTTTTTTAATCCTGCTGGAGATTTGATGGGTCTCTTTTTTTTTTTTTTAAGATTTTTTATTTTTTCTTTGACACAGAGAGAGAGAGAGAGCACACAAGCAGGGGGAGTGACAGCAGAAGGAGAGGGAGAAGCAGGTACCCAATGAGCAGGGAGCCCGATGCGGGACTCGATCCCAGGACCCTGGGATCATGACCTGAGCCGAAGGCAGACGCTTAACAGTCTGAGCCACCCAGGCGCCCCTGATGGGTCTTATTAAATATTGCCTCTGTCCCATATTCTCTTTTCTTCTTCTAGCATTCCATTTTGAACACTTTATCTCCCACATCTCTTAAACTCTCTTTTAGTCTGTCCTTCTGTGCTGCTTGTCCATATAATTTCTTCAGTTCTACCTCCCAATTCACTAATAATTTTTTTTATATTTTCCTGAACATTATCTACTATATTCAATCCACCATTAACAAATCCTGTTGACGGATTCTGCCTTCAAATCTCTGATTTATTCCTTAATGCTTGGTTCTATTATTATCATCCTAGTTTGGGGCCTTACCTGCTTTTAGCTAAGTTAGAGGGGTCTGTGGGATCTAAAACTTAGCATGCATACAATTAAGGCTTTAGCTTTCTAAAATATGAAGTTGTTATGTTGGTCTCCTTTTATAGAATTTTCATCATCTCCTTCTACTTAATGATGGGCTGAGCCCTAAAATATCATTTTTCCAAGATCTGGTCCCACGTTGTCTATCCAACTAAGCACAGATTCTCAGCCCCAAACAGGCCTATTTTCTTTCCGTCCCCTGCACAAGCCATGTGTATTTTTGCTGACATGCTTTTGATCCACAATCTTTCTTACCAAAGTATGCCAAACCTTTCAGGCCTTTCTCCTTTGTAAAGTTTCCCCTGATAAATCCCAACATGCTCACTCTGCTTTCTGATTTCCCTGAGCCCTTGTGTGTGCAGTATATATTTTATTTCTTCACTCAAATACAATTCTTCAGTATTTGAAGTTAAGTTATAAGTAGTCTTAGCTAGAATTCTAAGTTAGGTATAACTCCAAAGTTTATGCTTTTCTATTATATAAAACTGCCTCTTACATTCAATAAATAATTGTTGATTTGCATGATAAAAGGAAACAGATGCTATAAAGTCAGACATAACAATGCTTTACAATTAACAGCTTTATCTTAGCTTGATTGCAACAAAATTTTTAAACTTTATTCATACAAGTAAATTTCTCAGGAAATCCCCTCAAAAGGGATTCTGCAGCAGGTTACCAGTAAAGATAAACATTAGCTCCTCCAAATAAAAGTACTTACTTTCTGAATATCTAATCAAACTGCATAAAATCATGCTGCAGCGTAAATGCTAACCCCTATAATTGTAAGCCTAAAGTAACAGCTTACACGTCTGGAAGTTCACTCCAGGGATCACTCCAGTGTTAAGGAAAAGATACTAAAAGCCTAGTTTTATAAATTATTCTTATGTTGATAAACAACCAGTCCAGTTAAACTAGGTTGTATTACACTGTATTTACCCCATTCACTTTATAACCAATAGTCATCATCTCTGGACTAGACTTCAACAATAATGAGAGTGAATGTTATTTGGGGTTTATAATGTAGAACCCTCCTTCAGCATTAAAGTGCTCGTCTCTCTTTTATTTCTAAATAATACATGAGAAATCAAACTGAGCCTTGAATTATCTTGAATAATTTAGAGAGTCAGTTTTTAACAGATTTATATTACATATGTATATTTTTCATATATATCATACTACGTATATGTATTTTACATATATATTTTTATATATATATGTAAAAGAACCCTCTTGGCATGTAGATTTTTGGAAAATAGTTGCTTAATTCTAGGCCAATAAGGGAGGACAGACTGGGAAAAGTAAACTATCCTTAGTATTTCTCTCATAGGACAGTGTTTATCTCTCTTACCTTTCCTGTCCCGTCCTTCATCAACACATACTGGCAGACTTCCTAGGGCAATGCAGAAATCCAGACAAGAGAAGGAAGCACACTAAAATAATGGAGGACAGGCTACAGGAGATGGACAGTGTCAGACATCATGTGGGAGAAAAGAAGGAATTATCACAGTTAGCCACTTTGTTCAAGAGAAACTAAAACTAGTTATTTCAAAGGTAGAGAGATAAGAAAAAAAAAGATCTTTTATTTCTTTGCAGCAAGGCTCCTTTTATTAAGAACAGAGAAGAGTTGCAGTTAATTTGGAAATGTGTCTTCAGAGAAACAGATATAACTTAGCAAATAGTACAAAGGGACAAAAGATAAATAAGATTTTTCCCATTTAAAAATATTAATCAAGAGCTATAATATAGGCATTGAGAAAAGAAAAAAAGGCAGAACTATCATCTAGAAGCTGTTAAGAGAACTGTTCTATCTTTTCCAAGAGAATACAGACTATTAAAAGCAAAGGAATCCCAATGTTATAGATAAAAATGATGAATGAGGAATATGCATGTAAGTACCTTTAACTGCACGGTCTCACACTATGAAGAACAATAATGTCACATTTAACAGTGGAGTTCTAGAAACTGAAGAAAGTAGTCCAATGAGGAGCTTTTTCACATCAGGGACAATCTTCTGTACATATTTGCATGACATGAAATACCTCCTCTACCCCTGCCCTAGGAATTACCTCATCTAGATACAGCGCTTGAAATACCACCATTGGGAAATAAGAGTCCTTTAGATTTAATACAGCCTTTGTAATTTAGTAATTTTTCTGCCAAATGCAAGAGCTAGGAAAGTCTGAAGCTACTCACACTGGCAGTGCGATTTTGTTTCTTTCAATTAGAGACAGTTTATAAAGAGGGATACCTGGATGGGTCAAGGTATAGGAAAAGAGGCAAAAAAGGATATGGAACCTAAGAAAAACTACTGTACAACCTTGGGTACAACCAGTTGCTATTATGAATACATTATAGGTTAAAGCCTCTGTATATGTGATTTAGGCATTTCTTAAAAAAATTTTTTTAACTTTAAGATTTTATTTTCTTAATTCATGTATAGCTAACAGGGCATTTCTTTAAAATTAATGCTCAATTTCAACAAGTCAATTAAAGTTGTGACACTTCTAAACAAGGTAAATGACAAGGCTATATTTTGTCAAGGCTATATTTTCTGCAAAGTAAAAGGCAATTTAATGTAAGAATGAATTCATTTTTAAATTTTAAGTGGTTTTATCAATTTTGATAATATCTGAATAGTCTATCCAAATTTGTTAAATAAAATGCATACCTCATATTCTTTTCTGCAAACTTTGGAAATATCATTTTTTGAAGATGCCTAAAAGATAACAAATTTCTCCATTAATTTATTATACATGCTATTCAACAAAGGACAAAAAGAACATAAATTAATATATGTTAATTGCTGGTATGGTATTCTTTATTTCATCAAGGAAAATCTTAAGCTCCAATACTTAAAAGTTCCTAAAATACAACAAACAAATTTCACGCAAGTTCTTTAAAACAAACAGCCCCAGAACCTACTCAATATGCTAAAACTTCACTCTTTTATGGCTTTAATCTCACATAATAACAGGTCCTGTTGTTATTTCAGAAACTAGATGACTTTGAAAGAAATGTAAATCAGAGAACGTTTTTCTTAGTTGAATTCCACTCTGTAGCAAATTTTCTTGTGAAGCTCTGCCAAGGCATTTATATTTTGCTTTTTCTTTAACCCTTTATATTCTAAATTCTCATACTGATTTATGAGTCAATCTCCTCAGAAAAGATCCACATGTAATGGAGTGGGCAACTAAAGAGGGAAAAGGCTATGCCAGGCAATTAACAAAAGTTATTTTTATGTAATTCTCTTTATGTCCCCCTAGACCCCTTACAGTTCAAATCCTCTGCAACTCAGCTTCATCTCAATGACTGGAGAAGAGCAGCAGATTGCTAGGCTGTGTGCTACTCAAAGAGTATTGCTCAGACTAAATAGTACAGTGGTCTGTATGAAAGTAAAGACGCCACCATGTCTCATGTACTCTGGTCCAGAGACCAGTCATTAAAAGAAGAAAATAAGAAAAGGCTTTCCAGCTGTGGTTTCCAGTCTAACTAAATTTCCCAGTTAAGTCTACTCTCACCAGTTGGGAGTATGAGCAGCTAGGAGGCCAGTTTTCCCACAGCACTCTGAGGACCACTATGAAAATACACAGAGTGAGGAAGAACTCAGGGGCCTAACTTGAATTGGACTGGAGATCTATCCAATCAAAGAGAAGTCATAGTTCACTGTTGGAGTCATGCTCACCTTAGGAGCAGGGAAGGGATACAAGAACATGCTCAGGGTAAACCCATGATGAAAGAGAGAGGGAAAGATGAAAGTTAAATAAGCCAACTGTGTCATCTGCTCTCATCCAAGCATACTCTAAATTTACACAACCATTTGGAGCCACTCAGCATTGACTAAGTATGACCACAGGCAGAGTACAAAAGGCTTCAGTTCCTATAATATTCTTTCCTCTCTCTTGCATGTCAGAGAGGAGAATAAGAAAAGGCTGAAGGTCTTACATGCAGCAGCCGTAAATGAGAAAGCAGCAAGTCTAAAAGAAATTGGTCTACGCAAGAAATGCTAAATTTGCAGCTTTTATGGGTCACCTCTCCAAATGTATGAGGTGGGCAAAGTCTAAAACATACACAAAGCTAATACTCAAACTGTACTCCATGCTGCTTATGAGCCTGATTGCCCAGTATTACCTGCTTGCATGCTTGTCGACACTCCAAGGTAATAGCCAGTTCACAGCAGCCTAAGCCAACCCAGCCATCAGACTTCTTAAACACACCTTAAAAAACAAAATGTTCAAATGTTTTGGTCATAAGCAGTAACAACCACAAATGGCATGCCAAATTGGTTCATGGATCTCACTAAAAGTCAAAGCAGGTGTCCACAGGAAAACTCGCTCAGATAGCAGGGCCTCAAAATTATTAAGGCCTTCCTCTCACCCTTACTCCCAGTGCTGTCAGTCTTCTCAGAGCCTGCACAACATAATTATCAGGTGCTTTGTTTTTTCTTTCTTTTCTCTGCCCCCCCAAACTCTCTTTAGATCATTCTCACTCTTGGGTAGATAGCATCTCTAGAAGACACACAGGTTAAGGAAAGCAAGGAGAGGCCTTCCTCACTTTTAGACTGTGAATCAGAGGCAAAGATTCCAATTTAACTTAACATGCAAACAAACAAAAAAGGGCACAAGGATTATTACATTTAAAATATTAAATACCTAGAATAGCATTAAACCCATGATACTGTTTAGAAACTGATACTTAGTGATCAGACAGGACAGAAAGGAACATTTCCTGTAGGCAAGAACTGACTTTGATGAGTACACTTAATTATGGGGCAAAATGACTATTCTGTTTCAATTTATACACAGCAGCTATTTCTCCAGCCAAATTATGGTAATATCAAAAGGTGATGCAATTATAAAAAGTGTCCTAATGCATTTTTTTACATCCACTTTTGCAAGTATAAATGTCAATGAATGACTCCTAGGATAATATTAGGAGACACAAGTAACAATTATAAAAAGAGGAAAGACATATGCTCATAGGCATATAGCACATTCCTCCTGATCTCTTTTCAGAAATACTTTAAGCTGCTTCCATGTAATACATACATCTGCAAATTCACATCTAAATTATTATTATTTACATTTGAAAAAAGTGTCAAGAATTTAATGCAATAGGTAACATAGTTCTCCAAATGAAACTAGGACTTAATATAATAAATAAAAGCATTCTGCTAAAAAAAAAAAGTAAACAAATGGCCTGCAAACAAATGGCCTCAAAATTATAAACCACCCCAACTGTTAAAACTAGCTAGAAATACTGCATATCATAAGCTTCTGTATTCCTACATGTTTTAATGGTACAAAGGGTAATAGACTTCCATCTAACCCTTTGCCTAGTATAGTTTCCTCTAAATCTCCGCTGCTTACTATTCAGAGTCACTCTCGTTTTCTAAATTATTTCGAATGGAATCAATGTTGGTCATAAATTTTGTGAACTTCTATACTATAATACAGTATACTGCTGTTTCCATACACCTAGTGGCCTCCTAGAAACTATTACTGTCCAACAAGGGTTTACAGTATTATGTAGAAAGCACTCCATTAGGTATCATGTGGGTTATGAAATAGATAAAATATATGAATTATCCCATTATGGAGATCACATATGAAGATATCTCTATCAGAGATATAAATTATAAATAAATAATTCCAGGACATTAGGTAGAGGGATAATTGGGAGAATAAGCAAGGATATGGGCAATTCCAAGAAGGCAAATAGACCAATTTGTTTGAAATACAAACTTCAAACAGTGTGAAAGCCTTTAGAGTTCAGAGATACATAAAATATACTTCCTTTATATTTATACTTCCTTTTTTTAACCAGGACTGGAAGTTTTAATCCTGGAAGACTGTGAATGTCAGGCTAGGGAGTTTGGGCTTTATTCTGATGGAAGTGGATATCCCCCCTGAAGGGTCTGTTTTTTTGTTTTTGTTTTTGTTTTTAAGGAGCTGGGGAGGACAGCTATGATATGTTGAAAGACCAGCTACAAGGTTGTTACAATATTCTATTCTCAGAGAATAATAATAATGGCTTGAACTAGGAGTAGAGAGAACAGCTCCAAGATTTTACAAGGAGAGAGTTGATGGAGCTAAAAAGAAAAAGCAGTCAAAGATAACTTGAGGGATTCTGGTCTAGTGTCATTCATAAGACAGGCACTTATGAGTTTGGTTTTATTTATTTTTTAAAAAAAGATTTTATTTATTTATTTGACAGAGAGAGAGAGACAGCGAGAGACGGAATACAAATAGGGGGAGTGGGAGAGGGAGAAGCAGGCTTCCCGCTGAGCAGGAAGCCCGATGCGGGGCTCCATCCCAGGACCCTGGGACCATGACCTGAACCGAAGGCAGACGCTTAACGACTGAGCCACCCAGGCACCCAATGAGTTCGGTTAAATTTGTACTTCAGTTGTCACCAGGATGCAGAGATCCATCCTGGTGACATGTCTAGAAGTCGTGAGTGACAACTTAGATTTGAAGGCTATCTTCCCAGTGCTGACTAGTTAACAGTTCTGGGAAGGAAAGCAATTACCAGGGTAAGTGTGGAGAGAGAAAAGAGGACCACGTACAGGAATAACCAAGGTCCTTCCTGGGGGGGAGGGGGTGGCAGAGAGGGAAGGTACGAGAGGATAAGGTCATGCATGAGGCTAAGGTGGAGTCATAAGGAGGTAGCGGTCACAATATCAGGTGCTGCAGGGCAGTCAAAGGGAATAAGTACTGAGAAAAGGCCATAAGATTTAGGTACCATGAGATCTTGGTGCTCTTTCAAAGACCAGTTTCACTAGAATGGAAGAAGTAGAGACAAGAGTACAGTTCATGATTGAGTGAATGAGAATAAACTATACATTTGAAAATTTGGGTGCCTACAAGAAAGAGAAGATAGGAACTCAAGGGGATACATTAAGTTACGGGACTATGACACAGATTTTATAATCACAAAGCAAGGTTTTAAAGATAAAGTGCTAAATGTTACACTTCTTTGCTTACCTGGCAAAGATGAATTCATACAACTCCAAATTTCAACCTAAAATTGTAATCACCAAAAGGCTTTTATATAACCAGTTCCTAAATATGACAACTTACACAGAAATTATATACAGGTAATTTGATTCTGCTTGCCTCTATATAGTCAGTGTTCTAAGATCACATGAGTATCAAGCAGCTATTCAGGGAAGAAAAAATAAAACTGAGATGCAAAAATATTGCTTGCTCTCTGCCCATCTTCCCACCTGAGAGCACTAACGATGAGTCTGGGTACTGAGGATGTTTACTGGAATCACTGTTTCTAAGCACAAAGACAGAAGTGTCTGTAGAGCAAGTAAAGGCAAATGTGTCAGTCAGAATTGTTTGATCAACTTTTCCTCCCTCACGTAATGCAAGCCACCACATCTAAAAAGTCGGTCTCATGTAAGCTCATATTCCGTAGCCTGGCCCACCAGTGTCCCAAACACTGAGGATGGCCCAAGCACTGAAGACATTTTAAGTTACATGATTCAGAGAGGCAAGCAATATATCTACAGTACACCAAAAAACGGGAAGATAGGAATAATGAGAAATCACACATTTCCCCTTACCCCAAATTTAACTTTTCAAATTCAAAATAAATATAAGATATAGTTATTATGGTTTTCATAAAATTATCAAAATAATGAGTAAAATTCCAAATTCCAGCTAAATGGTTATAATGAAATTTAAAGACTGTAATACATTTATATTTAATATGATTTTTATATCTACATCATAGGATAAACAATAAAAGATCAAAGATAATATTCTACCAGCAATTTCTGTGATGATCTTTTTAAAATACCTAGTTAAATTTAACATTTTAATTTGATCACAAACTCAAATCATTTTGAAAATTTTCCTGAATCTAGAAGTTAACTCATTAGATGGCTTCATTTAGACAAAAGCTTCCATAGTTAAGTTAAACAAGACCTACCATTGTTTCAGGGCAATAATCTGGGGCTCGCTGTAACAGATGCTTTAGTCGGGATTCACTTTTTGAGGAGAATATCTGACAAAAAAAAAAAAAGTTTTTGTGGCATTTTTCTGTAAGAAATAAGAAGAGGTAAAATTTGTTGTCTTCTATACTTATCAGTTGCCTAGAATATTTTCCAACTTCCTTTTATAAATGGAAAACCTTTGGAAAGGTCTAAATTAAGTTGAGGTAACATCTCTTAAATGGTTTTTTAGTTTGGCAAATAATCAAGAAAGTCCATATATGCAAGTCTAGACCCTTTTCTAATGACCAAAAATGGAAAAAAAACACGCTACCAAATCTGTTAGAGGACAAAGGAGAAAAAGAAAGAAAACAGGAAAGAAAAAAAGATAAGTTTATTCTAAACTGTTCTACAAACTACTTTTAGTCAACTGACAACAATGTAAAACAGATTATGTCATACCCTTGATATTAGTGAAGAACAAATATTCACAATAGCATTATTGCATAAGCTTCCATAAAATACCAAGAGAGACAAAGCCATTTTTAATAAAGATGCTGAGGAGCTGACAAGTTCATTCACCAGGCTAACTGGCTCTCTTCCAAATAGAATTTTAATTAATGCAATTACAATTTGATGTCTCAGTAAATTATAAGCGATTATATATGAGATAGAACTTCATGGTTACCTGCAAATAGTCAAGACTGTGAAATCCATGAATGCTAAGGACAATGAAAAAGGATTTATCTCCAGTTAGTTTTAGTAGCCATTTTTTCTCCCAAACTACCAACTATTGTTAATAAGTGACGAGGGCTAGAATATCACCATTTTGCAACCACTAGTGAATTAATGCATTTAGGCAATTATCAATAATGACTATAATGTTAATTACGAAAAGAGACAATCAGACACAATAACGTTACGAGTAAGACCTGCTGAACAAACAAACAAAACCAAAATAAAACAAAACCTAACCTGAATCTGATCAAGCCTCTTGACCTGTCTCATTAGGTTACTGTTAGCCATGTGTGGCTACCTAAATTTAAACTTAAATCAATTAAGATTAAATAAAATTTAAAATTCAGTTCCTCAAACTCTTTCTCTTTCTCCTCAACCTCTCTAAACACATTTCAAATGTTCACTTGGCACATGTAGCTAGTGGCTACCATACTGGATCACACAGATACAGAATATTTTCATCACTGCAGAAAGCTCTACTGGATAGCTCTGCTCTAAATCTACCTACCAATTACTAAGAAATATAAAGGGAAGGGGAATATATTAAATGGTACCATGGAGTTGCAAATAGCATAATTCAGATTGTGAGAAACTCTACAGGGTAAATGACCAGATTTATTCATCAAATAAGCAAAGTCAGGAAAGCAGTGCTTCAGCTCCCTATGATGACACCATCCAGGAGCCATTTTTGCTTTTAAAAGCTGTTGTTCTTACAATAAATTTGCAGAAAACTTAATTTGCCATAGTGTTTTGACATGAATTCATGTACTCAGATGAGCTGAGTCACTGTCTTGTTTTATAATTAAAGAGTATCTTGCAAAATCTTTCTAAATTCATAATATTGTTTGAGAGGCACCTGGGTGGTTCAGTTGGTCGAGCAGCTAACTCTTGGTTTTGGCTCAGGTTGTGATCTCAGGGTTGTGGGATCCAGCCCCTAACCCAGCATCACACTCCACACTCAGCAAGGAGTCTGTTCATCCCTCCCCTTCTGCCCCTCCTCCTCCTTGTGCTCTCTCTCTCTCTCTCAAATAAATAAATACAATCTTTAAAAATAAATAAATAAATTCATAATATTGTTTGAGGGAAGTTTTTTTTTTATTCTTATGTTAATCCCCATACATTACATCATTAGTTTTAGATGAAGTGTTCCATGATTCATTGTTTGTGCATAACACCCAGTGCTCCATGCAGAATGTGCCCTCCTCAATCCCCACCACCAGGCTCCAACCCATCCTCCCACCCCCTCCCCTCTAGAACCCTGTTTGTTTTTCAGAGTCCATCGTCTTTGAGAGAAGTTTTAATTCCAATTAGGTAGCTCTCTATATTTTAGGAAGTGACAAAATCCACATTACTGAAAACTCTTCAAAAGATACTTGAGGCCATTTGTTCTCAAGTGCCAAGGCCAGAACTGCACAACCAAGATGATGAAAGAAGGTTAAGACTTTATAAACAGGTATTGTGTCTCGGTGGAACTTGATTTAAAAGGCTCAATCAGAAAAATTCAAACCTACAGGAAAGTTTCAAGAACACTCACATAGTCTTCATCTAATTACTCATTATTAAAATTTTGCAACATTTGCTTTAACTCTCTACATATACAGATATTATTGTATTTTGATGAAACATTTTAGAATTCATTACAGACATGATCATTCATTCCAAATCCCAGCATGTATCTCCCAAGAACAAGGACACTGTCCTATGTCACTAATACAATCACCAAATTTAGGATCATAGCATTGATTCATTATTATTATAGTTCATATTCAAATTTCACCAATTTATCCCAATAATGTCCTTTATAGCAACCTTTTTTTAATTCCAGGATCCAATCCAAGATTGTATATTGCATTTAGTTGTCATATCTCTGTAGTTCCCTTTAATCTGCAAGTTTCTTAACCCTGACGACTTTGAAGAGTACAGGCTGTTGTTTTGAGGAATATCTCTCAATCTTGCTTTGCCCTATTTTTTCTTCATGATTCAGGTTATATATTTTTGACAGGAATGCTACTTAAGATGCTGTGCTTCTTTTCAGTGCATTATGTCAGCAGACACACATTAATTTGTTTCATTATTGGTGATGTGAACTGTGATGACTTGGTTAAGGTGCTGTCCAGCAGATTTCTCCAAAACAATTATACTTAATAAACAGTTACATAACCTCAACAATTATTATGTATGCTTACCTGTTCACATACATCATGGCACATTTGATTATCCTTTGAATGATTACAACACAGTGCACCTAGGAGAAAAAATAAACACCAGATGTTGCCCACTGTTAAATAAACAAGATGATTAAACTAAATCAGATGGCTACACAAAATATTTATTCAACAGATTATTATTATTCATTTTAACTCAACAAACTTTTACAAACCAAGGACAGTGTTGTCTGAGCACATGGTCCCTGCCCTCAAGAAGCTTGCAGGCTAATAGTGGAGACTGTCATGTGTACTTTCTATGTACCAGAATTTTACTAAGTTTTCTTTAAGCATTATCTCATTCAATCCTTATAATTACCCTATAAGCTATATTCTATTATTATACCTATAATGTATGACTAAGTGATAAAAAGGCAATGAATTTTGTTTTGGACACGTTAAATTTAAGGTTCCTATAGGACATCCAGATGGAATAGCAGTAAAGTCAGAAATCTAAGCCTGGATTGCAGGTAAAGCCAAGCTGAAAGATCCAAGTTGAAAGTCATCAGCATAAAGGAGATATATGGAAACGAAAGACATTGCCTAGGGAGAGTTTCTAGTAAGAAGTCATCACAGCACCAAATTCTAAAGAACACCAAATCTGAGACATGGGAAGAAACAAGAAAAGACACTGAGATGGAACAGTCAGACAGGTAGGTCAGCCTCGAGAGAGTAGCATTACAGAAGAGGGAACAGTTAGTGGCATGTACCAAAACATACAGGTTAGATTGAAGACTCAAAAAAAGGAAATGGATTTACTAAATAGGAGGCCACTTGGTAACCTTCACAGGGTACTTTCTGTGGAGCTAGAAGTGGATGATATTAAGGAGTAAACCAGAGGTGAGGAAGTATAAACAAGAAACATTAGCTCTCAATAAGTCTGGCAGAAATGAGAGGGAAGGGGCACCCGGGTGGTGCAGTCAGTTAAGCGTCCAACTCTTGATTTCTGCTCAGGTCATGATCTCAGGGATTGAGTCCCTGAGAAGGGCTCCATGCTCAGCGGGTAGTCTGCTTGGGATTCTCTCTCTCTCTCCCCCCCCAGCTCTGCCCCTTCCCTGCTCTCTCTCTCTCAAATAAATAAATCTTAAAAAAAAAAAAAGAAATGGGAGGGGAAAAAAAGAGCAGTGGTTACGGAAGGATGCAGGATCAAGGGAAGGAAAAATCCTCCATTTGCAGTTGGCCTTTGTCCCCGATTCCTGGGAGGAAGACTCTAACCCTTGGAATTTCTAGAGTAAGAGGTGTTTCTTTGTTATGCTAATGAGGTGACACCCCCCCAAGCCCCCAGATAGCTTCAGGATGGGGACTGACATGCCAGATAGACCAGCCATTTGATTAGAAGGTTAGAAGGTTGGGACTTTGAGCTCCGTGATGGCAGCCCAAGACAGGGGGATGAAGATCAAGTTCAACCCATATGGCCAATAATCAAATCAATCATGTCTATGTGATGAAATCCCAATGAACACTAGATACTGGAGCTCAGTGGACCTTTCCTAGGTGATGAAGACACTGATGTGCCAGGAAGGTGATACACACTGATTCCGTGAGGAGAAGACACAAAAGCTCCGTCTTTCCTCCCAGACCTCACCCTGTGTGTCTCTTCATTTGGCTGGTCCTCCTGATTTGTATCCTTTATAATAAAACTGTAATCATAACTAGAGCGCTGCCCTGAGCTCTGTGCATCATTCTAGTGAATTACTGATTTTGAGGTGGTCGTGAGAAGCCTGGATTTATAGCCAGTTGTTCAAAAGTGTGGGTGGCCTGGGGACCGCCTAAGTGTGGCTGGCGTCTGGGGTAAGTACTGTCTTGTTGGGGACCATGCCCTTTAACTTGTGAAGTCTGTTCTAACTCTGGGTGGTTAGTGCCAGAATTGAACTTCCATACCACACAGTTGTGGCTGAAACAGAATATTGGAGAAATGAGGTGACTGCTGGAAAGGCATACGGGTTTAAGAAAAGGCACTGAGGGGCGCCTGGGCGGCTCAGTTGGTTAAGCATCTGCCTTCGGCTCAGGTCATGATCCTGGGGTCCTGGGATTGAGTCTCGCATCAGGCTCCCTGCTCGGTGGGGAGTCTGCTTCTCCCTCTCCCTCTGCCTCTGCCCTTCCTCGTGCTCTCTCTCAAATAAATAAAATCTTAAAAAAAAAAGAAAGAAAGAAAGAAAAGGCATTGAGTTTGGGGCAAGGGATGCAATAGTGAATAAATGTTATGTTCTGGGGCGCCTGGGTGGCTCAGTCAGTTGAACGTCTGCCTTCAGCTCGGGTCGTGATCCCAGGGTCCTGGGATCGAGTCGCATCGGGCTTCCTGCTCAGCGGGGAGTCTGCTTCTCCCTCTCCCTCTGCCTGCCGCTCTGCCTACTTGTGCTCGCTCTGTGTGTGTCAAATAAATAAAATCTTAAAAATAAATAAATAAATGTTATGTTCTCTGACTTTATCAGGTTACAGTCTGATGGTAAAACGAAGTCTAGACAAGAGGAAAGGATATAAGGACACTAATAAATTATAAGGAAAGTTGATGGCCTCCATTTTCTCAGTGAAACACAGATTAGGTCTGAAAACAAAAAGGGTTGAGATGGGGTTGGGGGCTTGAGGTGAAACTGTGGAAGTGTGGAGCAGTCACTTTGGAGAACAGAGAAAGGAGGCAACTATAAATACGTTTCTCAAACTTGTATTCTATTCATGAGTTGTTAATATCTACCCCTCAGGAGAAAACGTTTCATGTTCAAAGAACTGGGAAATGAAGGATTAAAAAAAGTTAAAGAGAATTCCTTATTGCAGGACTTCACAAAGCCTTTAATATGTTTATACATTACTAATCTCCCAAAAAGAGATCTAAGTAGACAGACTTCTCAGAGCACAGAACACTTTTTTCATGCCACTTACTAACATTTCAGAATGCCAGTTTGAGAAACATCAAATTAGAGAAAAGGAAAAACATTGCCAAGCAGCATTACAGGCCAAGAAATGCATAAATGGTCTATAGAAATAAACAGCAGGGAGATGTTATTATTCTAGAGTGTACCTGACTGGAAAAAAGATATAGCTGGATTGATCGGGGGCTATCAAGAGACAAGATGAAAGTATTACATTTCAGGCAGCTGGATCTGATACAATGGTTTAAAATATAAAAAATTTGCGGGCGCCTGGGTGGCTCAGATGGTTGGGCGTCTGCCTTCGGCTCAGGTCGTGATCCCGGGGTCCTGGGATCGAGCCCCACATCAGGCTCCTGGCTCAGCGGGGAGCCTGCTTCTCCCTCTCCCTCTTCCTCTCTCCCTGCTCATGCTTTCTCTCTCTCTCTGTATCTCTGTGTCTCAAATGAATAAATAAAATATTCTAAATAAATAAATAAAATATAAAAAATTTGCAACATAATCTCCTCAAATGCAATCTATACAATTTCAGTACACAAATTAGATGAAAGCAGAGCTTTTTTGATTGAAGGTAGGATTTGTATTGGAGGAAAATGAACGAATAGATGAATAAACGAAGAGCTCTTTAGATCTCACCAACAAGCCTTCTACGTTCAAAACTGGAAACTGTTCTCCATAAAACAGGGTATAAGTGGGGTAATCACTCATGAGGCTTTCTCAAAATCCCTTCTCCCCTGCCATGCCACACCATGCTCCCCGCATCTGCTAAGATTCTAGTTATGTCCCCAGTCTCATTACTCATTAGAATGAGAAGGGCAGGTAGGAAAAAGAAAAACAAAACAAAACCAAAAAAAGGCTCTCTTGTGCGATAATGATGTGCTCTTTTGAAGTGCTGAAGAAGTTGCCACTTTCTACTATCCTCTAACACAAAGGTCATTTGAGGGCAAAAAAATCCGGCTGATCATGAGCAAAGATAACTCAGGATAACATATGGTCCCAATAAGCACAAGCTTAGCAAAAAGTAAACAATCAGGCAGACAAGAGTCTGATTTGGGCCTAGGGATTTTTGAAAAACAGTTTCTTGGAGCAAAGGTCTATTTAGAACAGAAACAAAATGTGTTATAATTAAAAGTCCAATAACAATAGAAAGTTATATTTAAAATATAAATATAAAAGCCCATTTTTTCCTATTTAATAGTTAAGGTCAAATTTACAATGTAGTGACCCCTGAAGTTAAACTTTTAAAATAATTCTTTTTTTCATTAAGAAACCCAAAACTTTGGAAAATAAGAAGAAAAATGATCTATACTCCCACTGTCTTGCCAGAACCTATGTTGACATTTTGACTTCCTTCTAGTCTTTCCAAAAACCTTCTGATAACTCTGACAATACGGGATTACAGAGGGCAGCCCAAAGTCTTCTGGTAATAACTCCCTCCCCCCTCCCAACGGAGCATTCCTCTCTAATAGTACATTTCCTCCCTTGAGAGGGCTGCCACACTCCATGAACAGGCTAGGGGACCTATGTATGTTCCATTATATTTTCCATACCCTATCCTTAACCTTAGCCATTATTATATTGGTGTACATTTTTTTTCCTTTGAAATAACAAAACTTTTTAGAATCTTTAACACATATTTTTCAAGAAATAAAAGTCTACAAATAGACATCAATTCACGTGACTTCATTAAGAATGGGGAGAAGGGATTCAAATGCAATTAATGTGGCAACTAAAGGTCTTTGTCTTTTTTAGAGCTATTAAAATGAATTAATTGGGTCATTTAACAATTAGAGTGCAAAAAAACTCTCCAAGGCCTAATGTTTTTACAGAAGACAATTAATTCTAGAAATGTTTTGTTTTTATAATTTGATTCTAATCTAATTCTTGTTCTTCAAGAAAAATAGTTTAAAACTCTGCTTATTCTCAAGAAATGGAATTGAACAGATAAACGTAAATTAGTTAAAAATAAAACGATACTGACATGATGAAAATAAAAAGCTCAGGTGTTATCTTCATTAAAGACATAAGGATGAGTGTCATATTTTGCACCCTATTCCAAGATTAATTTTATTAATTATAAAATTAATAAAAACCAAAGAGATTGCTAAAAGCCATGTATATTGGCTTTAAGAAGGTATTAGTGGAACCTAGAAATATGCAAGCAGAACGACCCAATA